AGATTTGTTGGTTTTGGCTTACCAACAACTGCATGGCCTCCAAGAGCTATTGCTCGACCACAAGGGTTGTTGTAGTAGCCTCCTCTTGGCAGACTGGGTTGTTATCTTCTGATTATTGACTCATCGACCTAGTCGTGATCACCATAGAAAGTAGTAGGGTAGTAAAAAACTTAGTCGTTTCCCACAGACGGTGCCAAACTAATGATGTAAAAAATATGTTTTTGTAAAATCAACAGTCGAATGTGTGATAAAGTGTAATTAATGGACAACTAATAGAGCAATTAATGACAATAATGTAAATATCGGGTCAACACATAGATATATAGTAGTTTGGTCTGGGTGAACTACAAAACATTCATTTTTTAATAAAATAAGGTGAACGAGAGAAAGAGAGCAATGTTTAGCTTCGGGAGGGATATAATAGCTAGGAGAGAGAAAAGTTGTGTAGGGTGTATAGAGAGATGTAGAGATAGATCAAGAGGTGCCCTCTTATATAGAGAGAGCTTATAATTTATAGGCACGGATCCTTGGTTAAGGCAGTGACATGAAGGCAAATGTACTAATTTTTTGAGCAGCTACAAAAGGTAAGTGGCATAGGAGGATGTTTTGATCTTCGAGAGTGAGTATTCTAATAATTGCTCCTCACATGCTCTAATTATTCTTGGATTCCTTGGACCTTGGGCTGGGTTGAATTCACAAACTAAGTTTGACTTGACTTTTAGCGGATTTGGGCTTACTTGATTTATTGGGTCTGGCCTAGTTGAATCTGGGCTTGTTAGTTATCATTCACAGTCTCAAAAAATATATGTTAGCAAGGATGTTACCTTTCGTGAGTTTGAGTCCTAGGGGAGGGGACATCACTATTGAGGAAAAGATGGTATGTTAGGAGCCTTTCTTCAATTGCCTTTTCAGTAGGATACTAATAAGAGGGAACAACAGATTGTTGGTATCAATAATCCACCTGATACTTTGAAGACTTGTTCCGGACATCAGAAGGTACAGAACACTCATGTGCTAACGTTAAAAGCTTATTATACGGAGATTCCACCTATCTCAAGGAACTGATGGGAAGTCATGCAATTTGAAGAAATCACTTTATGGGTAGAAGCAATCACCCAAAGCTAGGTTGATAAGTTTCTCAAAGTCACATTAAAATTTGGATACAAGCAGAATCATGTTGATTATACTATGATCAGCGGGTAGGTAGATGACAAGATTACGGTTCTCATTGTATATGTGGATAATATAATGACAACTGATAATGATGTTCGTTAAATCACCAACATTAAAGCTCAGCTCACTAAGGAGTTTGAAATCAAAGACTTGGATCCATTAAGATACTTTTTTAGGATTGAGGTTTTTAGATTAGATAAAGATATTTTTATCTCCCAAAGAAAATATGTTCTTTGACCTACTTGAAGAAACACGTATGTTGGGATGTAGACCTACAAATTCTCCTATTGAAGTCAACCATCAACTGGGTAGTGGTGGTGATGATATTGTGGATAAAGAGAAGTATCACAGATTAGTGGAGAGATTGATATATCTCTCTCACACTTGGTTGGATATTGCTTATGCAGTTAGGGTTATAAGTCAATTCATGCATGATCTTTGAACCTTTTATTTTAAAGTTGTTCAAAAGAAGATCCATTGCAAGTTACTGTACCTTGACAAGAGGAAACATTGTCACATGGCGAAGTAAAAAACAAGTAGCAAGGTTTAGTGCAGAAATTGAATACAGAGGAATGATCCCTAGTGTTTGTGAGCTTATGTGGCTCCAAATTTTATTGAGTGAGCTTGACTTTGTGATGATGAGCCCATGAGACTCGATAGTGATAATAAGGTAGCTATCAACATTGCACATAATCCAGTTCAATATGATAGAACTAAACATGTCGAAATTAATCGACACTTCATCAAAGAGAAGCTGAACAAGGGTTTAATTTGCATGTCCTTTGTGAAATCAGTAAATCCGTTAGCAGATGTCTTCACAAAGGGGCTTAGTAGCAAAAAATTTCATCTTATTGTTTGCAAGTTGAGCATGAGAGATGTCTATGCACCAATTTGAGGGGAACTGCCATGTTGTGTTAATATGTATTTCTAACTTAAGGGTATTTGATGGTTAATATAAATTGGGATGTAACTATGTAACCCTAACACACTACTCTCTTCTCTTCTTAGTGTTCTCTTATTTTCCCTAACCCTAATTATTTTGCAATTTAACTATATCTTTGCCTTGTATTTAGATTATTGGACATCACAGCATTTGGAAATCGTGAATTCATTCAAAAGAAATGTATATTTTTTTTATAATATCCAATGAGCCGAAATATCTTGTGAAGTATTATGAATTCCATTTTTCTTCCTTCCTTTCTTTTATTCCGTAGTTTTCAAGTTTTTTGACGTTGGAGATATCCAATCTAAACCAAAGTGGCAATAAAGGGAGAGGCCCCTAGGTTTGTATACTAGTTTGAGACATGTTATTTTATCTATCTGGGGTAAGCTACAACAATCTCACGCACGTGCGACCCACATTTGCATTTGGAGATATCAAGAAAATAATTAAAAGACAAATTCAAAGACATAACTAGTGCACTTAACACAAAGGGAAATTTCACTTCCAAATCAATGTAATTGTGTTGTTCTCAAACTCTCCCCGTGTCCAGCTCTTATACCATGTTAGTACGTATAAACCAAAACCAATTGTCAATGAGAGAACAGGCCCCTCAACCACATAAATTAATCTTGGATGGTCCTTATCTTTCTGTAGCAGAATGAATCTCTCTTCGCTTCCTCCCTCACTTGGGTCCCTGACTCACAAGCTGGAACAAACCAACACAGACAAACAAGTTGAGGAATTGAAATGGGTGAAACTTGGTGCATTGGCTGTCAAGGCCTAGCACTGATACCATGTTAGAGACATCAAATCTAAAACAAATTGTTACAGGGTAGAGAGGTCCCTAAGACTCGTATTTAGTTTGAGATGTGTTATTTTGTGAACATGGAACAAATCCTATCCTTTCCAATAGTGTGAGCTTTTGGTCCCTTTTCTTGGAAGAGAGGGAGTTGTTCTAACTTCTTTTCTCCCTGGCTCATATATTTTTCTGCCCTCAAAACCGTGGCACATTATCTCTCAAAATCCACCAATACTTTAGGGTGAATGTATTTGGCGATACTTTAATGAATAGATTTTGACAACCAAAAATTAATCACTTATCTTTTATTAGAAATACAAGATTAAAAGATTGTGCTCTTTGGAGTGATCTGCACTCATTTTATAATTATACCTATTATACAGCATTCTTCAGTATAGCTCACAATCATCAAGAATAAGTTCTCATAATTAAATAAATTAAATTTTAACCGTATGGATATGCTTAACATCTAACAATTTGCTCTAGCAACTGTTTGTTAGCTTGGGTGTTGTTGATCATATTGTTTAACTTATGGGAACACATGGTTTTCTGTTGCAATCGGAGGTATGAAATATTCACCATGCATACCTGTTAGGAAGTAGTTGCATTAAATTTTCTCATTCTGATATTTTGAGTGTAACTTTGATTTGAAACTAGTGAAATCAAGTTTGCTTTATTGTTTACGATCATGAAGGTGACATAACTCTACAATTTGTATTTTTTTTGTTCACATTTTTGTGTTTAGAGGAGAGGGGTGTTCCCCTGTTTGATTTACGATAAATAAGTTGATTTTTTCAAATCATAGAGTTACATTAAAAATTAAACTTAATTTCTTTGCACGAAAGAAATACTAAATTAGTTGGGGTTGATATAGAGAGATTGTCATCTTGTTTAATCATTGTTACATGCTTACCTCGGCTCTTTTGTTGCCTTCAGCATGTTTAATTTTCAGTGCTGAATAGGAAGAATGTGGCTAATGGTGTCCCTTTCATGTAACCATCAACTTTGATTCATACGCGTGGTTATGAAGTCTTCAAACATATTCGTGTGTGTTCCCTCAATTTTGCACGGGTTCCTCAAAATGTGTGAATTGCTTTTGTGTCGTCCACGTGTTTGACCCCAGCCTTTCACCTATTCTGTTTTAACTTTCCTGTATTTTCTGCATGAAACTATTTCACAGTAGGCTCACATCCACAAGTGTAAAGTATGGTTATAAGGTCATGCTTATTTAAAGTTTCTAACTCGGAAATATAGCACCAGTTCAGTGAACTTTTGTCACATGTTTATTGTCAGAATATTTAACCCAAAATCAATTGCCAATAAGAGGCCCCTTAAACATAAACCAACATTGGTGGTCGTAATCAATTGATGGGGAATACAAGCTCGCTTAACATTCTCCCTCACGTGGAACTCGGGTCCACACGTAGGAGTAACAAAGAAACAAACAAGCATGCATACTACAAAATTTAAATGGGTGAGAGACTGGACCCAAGTACCACCTAAGGCTCAACTCTAATACTATGTTAGAAAATCCAATCCAAAATAAATTTGCATCGAGTAGAGAGACGTCTTAAGCATATAAACTAACATTGGGTGGTCCTAATCATTCGATGTGGGATATAAGCTTTCTTAACATATATAATATATAATTTTTACAAATTGTAAGTGTTGTGGTAAGTTGTTTGAATTTCTTAATAATACATTATTTCCCACGAAAATATTACCAGTACAAAATAGGTGCTGTTTTTCCTCATTGGATCTCAAATTTTTGCCATAATTAGTTATCTATCCTTAATAAATAATTAAGGACTCACTAGCTTCGTCTTGACTTCAAAATGGACCCTCATATCTTAGGCCTTTATAATTCTAGTGGGGGATCAAATAAATTTCATTCCTGGTGCCAAGCCCATGAGTTCAAGTTTTTATCTCTCTCAGATAGATCAGATACAAACGGGTATATTTTCTTTTATTATCTTGGTTAATATCATGGGTTTGATATTTAATTGGCTGTTGAGTATAACCAGTGTTTGTGGTGCCAAACATATTTTTATTGTGTCTAATTTTTTTGTGGATGTAATTCTTCCAATGGCAGTTTACAGTGACCAAGGGGTGCCAGCTTCGTTTAGTGTTCCTACTGGAGCAGTAATACCTTTTGGTTGTATGGAATTTGCATTAGAAAGAAGCAAGTCTATAGAAAGCTTCAGGTCATTGGTAGAACAGATTGAAACAGCCAAACTTGAAGGTGGAGAACTTGATAGACTCTGCAATGAACTCCAGGAATTGATAACTTCCCTGCGGCCTGCAAAAGACATTGTTGAGAGCTTAGGGAAAATATTTCCAGGTGATGCGCGTTTAATTGTCCGCTCAAGTGCAAATGTTGAGGACTTAGCTGGAATGTCAGCTGCTGGACTCTACGAATCTATTCCTAATGTCAGCCCTTCAAATTCTACCATTTTTGGGCATGCTGTTAGCCGAGTATGGGCTTCACTATACACCCGAAGAGCTGTTTTAAGCCGTAGAGCTGCTGGGGTGCCTCAAAAGGAGGCTGCCATGGCTGTGCTTGTGCAAGAAATGCTTTCACCTGATTCATCTTTTGTGCTCCACACACTCAGCCCATCTGACAATGATCAGAAATCTGTTGAGGCTGAGATTGCCCCTGGGCTTGGCGAAACTCTAGCTTCAGGCACCCGGGGCACACCTTGGCGTCTATCTTCTGGCAAATTTGATGGGCAGGTGCGCACATTGGCATTTGCGAATTTCAGTGAAGAGTTGGTTGTGCGTGGTACTGGTCCAGCTGATGGTGAAGTTATCCATTTGACAGTAGATTATAGCAAAAAGCCCTTAACAGTTGACCCTGTATTCCGGCAGCAACTTGGTCAGCGTCTTGGTGCTGTTGGATTCTTTCTAGAGCGTAAGTTTGGCTGCCCACAGGATATTGAAGGATGTGTGGTTGGGAAAGATATCTACATTGTGCAGACGCGCCCCCAACCTCTGTAGGATCTTCTTCCGTTTCGGAGTTGTACTCTATTCGAGAAGAAGTGGTTAACTGTTGGATATGGTTTTTTTAAGCTCAAGCACATACTTGTTTGTAGTCACCACAGGAAGCTCATGCTGGATTTCAAGCCTTCCATAGGGGTAGATTTCCTCACTTGCATGCTTATTGTTGAAAGACTCAAGTGCAGCAACATAAGCTGAAAATTTATGGTATTTATGTCATATTGTGTGTCATTTCTTATAGTACTGTTATTGTGAAAATTCCATTAAGATGTGTTGTCTTCTTGGGGGGTGTCTTCTATAGACTATACTATACAAGCTCACAAATAAAAGAATTGGGTTCTTGATCTTTTTATCTCTTGATAACTAATTTGATTTTTTTTCACGTGTTGAAATTCTGAATATGGAAACTTTTTGGTTTTCTACAAGCATTAGGGATATTGCACCTGGGTTGAAGATCCTTCCATACTTTTATAGGAATCAAACTTAGAAATTCTATTGCTTTTCATTCATATCAAGGGCCCCAAAAATCAAATCAATTGGAGATCAGAGCCACCTTACCAGCATCATGCTCCAAATTATAAGTTTGTTCCAAGTAAAGCTGGTAGGAGTGAGGGAATATCTTAGTGTAATGTGAGATTGTTTCATTGTAAACTGGGCTTTAAGGGTTCGAGTTATAGAAATAATTTGTGCATGCAAAAGTAAGTTTGTGTATGTCTAATGCTCTGCAGATGTAGTAGTGACGAAAAATCGTGCACTAGGCTATGTTGTTTTAAAGTTGGTAAGAATTCAAGTTTCTACACCAAAATTTTCATCATCATAGAAGACTTCTGTTTGTCCAATTAATTCTATGCTTATCGTGAATAAAAAGAACAATATATGTATTAGAGTCTAAGTGTTGGTATCCCTTTTATGTTTTCTTTTTTGATTTTTTAACTAGTGTTTGTTTTGTATTTTATTTGTTTATTTTTTTTTCCTTATCCAATTTTGTTTCGTTCCTCGAAGTTTTAATCAGATGTATAGAAACCTTTGGATCATTTCCAATATGTATAGAAAATTCAGGCATTCCATTCCATTCCAACGAAACAAAATCATCTATCAAATCACCGACTCTTCCCAGTTCTCTACCTACCTGTAGTTTTAGGTAGCATGGCACAATTTGGAAAGTTGTTGGTACATAATTATTTTGATCAATAAGAGTAATAGTGGAATGTATTTAATGATGTAATGAGTCTCATCATTAAATGTATTTCCTATCATTTCATTGGTCACAATGCATTATGTCCCAATAGCATTAGTGAATTTCTATTTATTTCTATTCGGAAATGTTGATATAGTAGGTAGGAATGGTTAAATAACTTGAGTATTGAGTATTCTAATTCATTTTCGATTTTTTCTTACGTCGCAACTAAATATGTGATCGTATTCACTCAGTTCAAAATCAAGTAACGTCTTAGTGCAAGAGGTGGTAAATTTTTGAATAGTTGACTCTCTCCTATGTCTCATGACCTAAAAGTGTATTGTGCTTGTGGTGAGGCCCATGAATCATATATTTGAGTCATTCAAATAATCTCTCTATAAATAGGAATAAGACTAAATACGTTCTATCTTATATCAATAAAATTCTCTAAAGAGTAAATTCAGTTTATTACGTATTCATCCACCAAGGAGTATCGGCATTTTTTGGCAGTTTGATTGGGTATTGGGAAGACCCCATGAACTCCAATCGATTCACAACCACTTCTCTAAAGTGATTCTTTTCGGTGGGAGAATGTTTCATAATCAGTTCAAGTAGCTGATCTACAAGGTCCCAAGAGCTAGTGATAATGGAGCATGTAACTTGGGGTAATCTAAAATAGCATCCAAGCGTCGCAATTGACAAAGGAGAGAGAAAAAGAAGTCAATCCAAGCTTTTAAGAATTCATCATCATCAGATTACCATCGCGCACAACTTAGGAGTGGCAATTGAGTTGTATTGTATTAGTTCGAATTCGTACTGCACACTAGTTAACTCTAACTCAATTTACTTAATTAATTGTGTCAAATAATTTAATAATAATCAGACATGTTTAGTTTTATATGGTGTTTGGATTGACCCGTATAACCCGTAAATCAAAAATCTAAAACTAAGATTTCATTATATTTCAACTAAACCATACCCATAGTAAAAAGTCATAATTGGGAGTCAGTAGTCCTCTTTAGGAAATTTATAATAAATTAAGTTCATCAATTAAACATATTTGGTATTAAGTCTTATTATTATGTTTTTAGTAAGTAGTTAAGTCCAAATTTTTTTAGTAAGTCTAAAAATGCCCTTCCTATAACATTAAAAACAGTCTTTAATGATAAATCAGTTTCCTAACTAGAAAATAGTTATTCCTTGATTCACGCTTAATGGAGGAGATCTACCAATAAGATTTTTTTCATAAAATCTAAAATTCAAATTCAGGTTTTCAAATTTTCGATTGGCCGCAATTTTCTATCCTACCCGACCTTATCCTACCCTACTGAACGGCTAGCCACAAAAATCGGGTAGGAATACAAAAGAGTTTTTGGTCTTCCGATTAAATCAAATAGAAATGCGGAATACCCATTAATTTTTGCATTCCTACCATACCTTATACGCAAAAAATATATTTAACATTTTTATATATTTTTTTAGTAATTATAAGAGTATTTGTGTGGTATAATTTATATTATACCATTGTTATTGTTGTGAATATTTGAGTTGTGAAAATATGGACTTGTTTTTTGTGTAGGTTACATGATTTGTGGTGAACTAGAACTAGTGAACTATTAGAGCAGTTATGATTTTAATGTGTTTCATATGTTTTAAACTTAAAATAATTATTTGTATTTGTATAACAATTATGATAGATTGATGTTTATGCTTTCTTATGTTTTATTGTAATTGTTATTGTAGTTGTTTTAGGTTTTAGTGTTATTGAATTATTGTGTTGTTAAATTGATGCATGTTATTTAATTGAATTGTTAAAATAATCCAAAAATTAATAGCTACAAAAGTGTTTATCCGATTTTCTACCTGATTTCCTACCCGATTTTTCGGGTAGGAATACTAATCTGATCCTATAGGGTATGCCAAGAAAAAATTCTTCTGCAAAGTATCAGGTAGGAAGACGAAAGACAATATTTTCTACCCGTAGGGTAGGGTGAACACTCCTGATCACCACCACTAACTCTTCCACAAATTTTATTCTCTCTCGCTCTTCACCTTGTCTCCTCCAACCTTCTTCCCAATTTCCATCACAGGTGGTCGCACCATTAAAACATTGTTTCGACTTCGGTGGATCTACTAGCCCATGTATCGTAGAAAACATGGGTAACATCGTGGAGATTTGAGAGTTTCGATTGGGTGTCCTCTGGGTCTGAGATGTCGCATCGCATTGGGTGTATTCGACTGGGTGGTCAGCGTCGAAGGGCCTTGGCTGCCGAGCGACGCCGTAGACCGTCCATGGGCTGCCGGGGGTGTCTGGAAGTGGGAGGATCTTTGCAAGGCTATTTTTGGCGATGCCTGGGGTGCCATAAATCACTTGTCATCCTTTTAGAATTCACGGGGTATTGCTCCAAAAATCTATTGTTATCGACCGAAGAAACTCAATCGACAAATAATTCTTAGCCGATTATTTATGAGGGATTCAAATGTCTTATTTCAAAACTTTTTTGGATAAATTTTAATGGAAAAACAAACGGTACAAGGAATAATAAAATTGGACTTCTTTATTAATTGAATTGAAGAGACTTCAGTTACAAGAAAGACTAGATTAATAGTCTTGATTGCAGCAGCAACTGCCTCCTAAATCTAATCTAACATTACTCTTAAAAATGTTTAGATTGTAGGTTTTGTGGGAATTTGAATATGTCATTTATCTTCTCTACTCTATGCTTTTTTATAGCCACTGTTCTCAACAATTTTTTTTTTCCATCGACAGTTACTGAATAGTAACCTCTAGTTAGTTATTTATCTTTCTAAACATGACTGTGGCTAATCATTTTCCACATTTCTTCATATTCTGCCATATGGTATCTTCTTATTGTATCTAAATTGTCAGATGTCGATACATTGAATATTCATAAGATTTATTTATTTTATGGTCAAACAATGCCCCCTNCGTAGAAAACATGGGTAACATCGTGGAGATTTGAGAGTTTCGATTGGGTGTCCTCTGGGTCTGAGATGTCGCATCGCATTGGGTGTATTCGACTGGGTGGTCAGCGTCGAAGGGCCTTGGCTGCCGAGCGACGCCGTAGACCGTCCATGGGCTGCCGGGGGTGTCTGGAAGTGGGAGGATCTTTGCAAGGCTATTTTTGGCGATGCCTGGGGTGCCATAAATCACTTGTCATCCTTTTAGAATTCACGGGGTATTGCTCCAAAAATCTATTGTTATCGACCGAAGAAACTCAATCGACAAATAATTCTTAGCCGATTATTTATGAGGGATTCAAATGTCTTATTTCAAAACTTTTTTGGATAAATTTTAATGGAAAAACAAACGGTACAAGGAATAATAAAATTGGACTTCTTTATTAATTGAATTGAAGAGACTTCAGTTACAAGAAAGACTAGATTAATAGTCTTGATTGCAGCAGCAACTGCCTCCTAAATCTAATCTAACATTACTCTTAAAAATGTTTAGATTGTAGGTTTTGTGGGAATTTGAATATGTCATTTATCTTCTCTACTCTATGCTTTTTTATAGCCACTGTTCTCAACAATTTTTTTTTTCCATCGACAGTTACTGAATAGTAACCTCTAGTTAGTTATTTATCTTTCTAAACATGACTGTGGCTAATCATTTTCCACATTTCTTCATATTCTGCCATATGGTATCTTCTTATTGTATCTAAATTGTCAGATGTCGATACATTGAATATTCATAAGATTTATTTATTTTATGGTCAAACAATGCCCCCTCATTTAATTGGGTTTAATAACCCAAATGAATAAATAGTCACAACTGTCATTTTCTTCTAAACACCTATTTAAGGAGTTTTGGCAGCTAAACTATTCATTTCGTTTTCTTATGTCTGCTTTTTGCTTCCTATCTTTCTTCACTTCTAGCAATTACTCTTACTAGTGCTTGAGATGGCTCTAAATAAGTAAAACCTTATATCTTCATCTTCCTCTCAAATCCCTTTCTCACTGAGATTTTCTATTGACATTAAATAAACAACACCAAGGCTCTTTACATCACAGGATTCTGATTCCTACCCCTAATTCTAGTGGAACTCTTGCTCTTGGTCCCTTCTTTAAGTCGTATGTCTACGAAGGATTCTCAGACCATTATCCTGTTCATGAGGGTGAACTCTAGTGCTGAATCAATCCCAACTCCAGTGGAAGTCTTGGAACCCAGGGACTAATCCTCTTCGCTCTTGGATTAACCTTGATCAACGATAGGTTAATTAGGTTATAAAATTGGAGCCCCACTTTGCCTCCCAATGGAGACGCCTGGGTATCTTTGAATTGATCAAACTCTTCACATGCGATCTGCACATGAATCGATGGTTGATTGGTGTTGCTTCGTGCTTCTGGTCCTAATCGTGGAATGTCATGCTCCTTCCTGTTGGCATGATGTCTTCAACAATTCTTGACATAATTCACCTAATAGGGCTTCGTCTCTAGTATAGGATATAGTGAACTCATCAATTGCTTCTTTGCCTCTAAATCTCCCAACCCTTTGTTTATAGAGCATGTTGCCTTTCTTCTTCATTGGCTTTGTTGATTTATTTTTTGCATTCCTAGCTTTAAGGTAACTAAAGAATACGTTGGAGTTTCTATTCAATTAGCCAATAAAAAGAAACTTGTCTTGGCTCCCTTTGTTCTAGGGGCATTATATAGAGGTCTATTTAATTCAACAGAGAACAGGATCACTATCAGCTGTGGAGGCCCTTTTTGGCTTTTTCAGGCTTGGCTCTATGCTTATTTCCCTGAGGTCTATTCACTTGAACTTTTTCTTTGGCCTAAATTCAAAATTTTGAAATACGCCCATCGATTCTTGTCTTTTCCATCTTTGTACATAGAGAGAACTTTTGATTCTTACTTTGAAGCATCTTCACTCTTAAAAAAGATAGATTGGACTCTTTATACACTCATTTCTCTGAATTTTCCTACTCTTGCGTTTTTATCGAGTCATTCAATGTTGACTCAGATATCAATTTTGACGAGGCTAACGAATTACAACGTAACTTCTAGGGTAGTGTCTTACTATCTCGTTACCTTTAAGTGGGAGGTTCTATTTCTGCCTCCAAATTCTCTAGTTGTAGCTTTGAAATGTGCAATCAAGTTAAATTTGTCGGATAATTTGGCCGAACTCAAAATATTCATTTCCCCTACATGCAACCTTCCATCGGTGAGCCTGCAAGTGAAAGGATGAATATTAAATTAGATGCTAAAGTCCATCAAATCTCTCAAGCTTATGAGAAACTGCTAAAGATGTTCAGATTTTCTCATTTTATCTATAATCCATTACAATCTTCTTTTTACTCATAATGGTAGCAGAATATCTCAGCTTTTTTGTTCATTTGTCCTTTAAACGAGTATGTGACCAGTCTGCACTTTGACAATCGACAGGCAAATGAGACTTCTGCCAGTCAAAGGAAAAAACTAATTGAGGCACACACTCCTACCCCTGGTCTCCCTGTTGATTCAAGTAAAGGCATGGGTATCTTGGTAGAGAAACCAAAGGAAAAGAAGACACAAAGAGGTCCCTCCTCAAGGTTGCTATAGTTTGTCATTAATGGTCATAACACTGCTGCTCAAAAAAAGTTTAAACCTTCTCAAACAACTATTGATGTGCCTATGATGCCTATCATTAACAAGTAGGCTACTGAAGAAACTCCTCTCCTCCGCAGAAAGACAAGTACTCCCTCTTCTTTAGATACATCAAAAAAGACAACTTCTGAGAAACACATGTCATTGTCATTGTCAGTTGACCCATCTTTGAAGGGAGATAAAGTAATTTCTTCCACATCCAATAATGGGTATATGTTGATTAGCAAACTTATCCCCATAGCCATGCAAACTGGAAAAAAGTTTAAAGTGGTTGCTAAGGTAAGAACCACGTCTTTCAAGTTCCTCATTTTCTCATTTTTTTAGCATGCCTTCTCTAATGTTTCAATTTCTTTTCTTGTAGAGGGGAAACAAAAAATTGGTTGTGTCATTAGAACACAATAGTCTTGAGCATCCTTCCCCGCCTCCTTCAAGGCAAGAAGACATAGTCAGTCCAAGGGATCAAGGAGACAACACCATGACAACTACAGTAGTTGCCACAACTGTGAGCCAATTTATGCATCTCTTGCCTATTGAAGGTCAACCAATACTTTCTCGACATGATCCTTCTATTGAGACTAACATCATCCCTGAGGAGCCTACTTGCGAAGACTCTACCACTCCAACCCCCATGCTCCATATTGAGAGTCAAGTTAATTCCCCTCAACTGGATCCTTCTCAACAGAGCCTTCTTACTAATAATCCAACTTCTTACTAATAATCCAAGTCATATCCCTAAGGAAGNCAAGTAAAGGCATGGGTATCTTGGTAGAGAAACCAAAGGAAAAGAAGACACAAAGAGGTCCCTCCTCAAGGTTGCTATAGTTTGTCATTAATGGTCATAACACTGCTGCTCAAAAAAAGTTTAAACCTTCTCAAACAACTATTGATGTGCCTATGATGCCTATCATTAACAAGTAGGCTACTGAAGAAACTCCTCTCCTCCGCAGAAAGACAAGTACTCCCTCTTCTTTAGATACATCAAAAAAGACAACTTCTGAGAAACACATGTCATTGTCATTGTCAGTTGACCCATCTTTGAAGGGAGATAAAGTAATTTCTNTTCTTTAGATACATCAAAAAAGACAACTTCTGAGAAACGCATGTCATTGTCATTGTCAGTTGACCCATCTTTGAAGGGAGATAAAGTAATTTCTTCCACATCCAATAATGGGTATATGTTGATTAGCAAACTTATCCCCATAGCCATGCAAACTGGAAAAAAGTTTAAAGTGGTTGCTAAGGTAAGAACCACGTCTTTCAAGTTCCTCATTTTCTCATTTTTTTAGCATGCCTTCTCTAATGTTTCAATTTCTTTTCTTGTAGAGGGGGAACAAAAAATTGGTTGTGTCATTAGAACACAATAGTCTTGAGCATCCTTCCCCGCCTCCTTCAAGGCAAGAAGACATAGTCAGTCCAAGGGATCAAGGAGACAACACCATGACAACTACAGTAGTTGCCACAACTGTGAGCCAATTTATGCATCTCTTGCCTATTGAAGGTCAACCAATACTTTCTCGACATGATCCTTCTATTGAGACTAACATCATCCCTGAGGAGCCTACTTGCGAAGACTCTACCACTCCAACCCCCATGCTCCATATTGAGAGTCAAGTTAATTCCCCTCAACTGGATCCTTCTCAACAGAGCCTTCTTACTAATAATCCAACTTCTTACTAATAATCCAAGTCATATCCCTAAGGAAGNAATAAATAGGATACTTTCAAGCTCTATTTTCTATAGCATTTTAGATAGCCATGTTGTTTACCTTGACTACTTTTATATATATTGTATGTATGTAACTTGGCCAGTTGGTCTTTTGATTAATACAAAAGAAATATCTTTTTTGTCTATGGCCCACAACCTTATTCATTACATGGTAGTATTATTGAAATCATCAAACATTGGTTGCAAATAATGAATGGACAAAAATTAAAGTTTTCATTCTATGGCTTAAAAGATACAAACCAAACCAAAAACTTCCATGTTACAGAGGAAATATAATTAAAAATTGCTTAATCCTTTTACTTAAATACTAAAAGGCTAGTCTCTGATCACTTGTGGCATCCATGCTTGGAGGTTCCATCAAGTATCCTTATGAATTTTTGAAAAACCTTTTGGTGTACAACTTCTCATTAGATAACCAATTTATTTGGTCATCTTCTTTTGTACTCATTTTTTTAACTTTTGCTTTCTGGACTAATCTCAACATTTAGTCTATTCGATAGAGGCATCACTCAATACCTTCATTGTTCCTCAAGGTGTATCACGATAACATTTAGTCCATTCTATNCATTTAGTCTATTCGATAGAGGCATCACTCAATACCTTCATTGTTCCTCAAGGTGTATCACGATAACATTTAGTCCATTCTATTTGTCCTCCAGTCTCCTTGTTTAATACTTATAGACCTTCCATTAGGTTTAAATTCCTTTACAGTTTCTACAAAAACTGCTATTGACTCAGTGCTATATTTCACATATCTGGCTAGTTGGTTTGGTTGTCCTAGCTTAGCCTTGAATGCTTCAGGCAGAATCAATATCATGTTACATGCTANATTT